CACGTGAAAAAGCTAAGGAACCCTGGGCAAAAGAAACCAATCAGAATGTTCACGGAATGAGACGGCTGAAATTAGCTATGAGCGATTGCGAATGAGGCTGAGGAAAGCGGCGTGTCCAAAATGTAGCAGAGAAGCAGGCAACTGCGCAAACAAAGAAATTGGCAACTAACATAATTCATGAAACTGAGGGTTAACTAGCCAGCTCCCGAACATCAGTAATATAAAATATCGATGCGCTGTTGTTGATGTTCATGCTGAATAAAGTCGCCGTTCCGCTTGAAGCACCGGAACAAACCGGCAGTTGCCACGCATGTTACTTCGGACATAGTTCCAGTTCCACGTACAATTGTGTTGACACTCAATCACAGCCAATCTGTTACGTTGTCAAGTTTACTCGCTCAGAAACACCGTGATGTTTTCATTCTGTTTAAGGACAAAGAGATATTAATCTAAAGCTTATGAAAGTGTCCAAATTAAATATCTAAATAAATGAACGCTTCATTCCTCGACGGTGTAAAGCGCAATCCAGTTGTGTGGCCTGATCGACCTTACAACGAGATCGCTCAACATATCAATGGTTCATTTGTTCTCCGAGCTTGGCGGTTTTCTCGCAAACGTTTCACCACCATGCGAGGTAGCATCCTCAGTGCAGTGATATGTAGCGTGCAAGCTTGCTAAATGAATTCTCCATCCATGCTCGACCTGCAGGTAACTTTGAACGTGGCAGTGTCGATTTAGGTCCCGTGACCTCTCTCCACTTTCTCCAAGGCCAAAGTCGGCGCCCGAGTTGTTCTGCCTCAAACCGCCTGACAAAAGGTACTTTATTTCTTTCTGTCGTAGTGGTTCGTATATTGAATCGATGTCCACGCGCATGTTGATTGAATGCTTCTTTGGGAACCAAGCTTCCAAAAATTCTCTTTCTTTTCTTGTTTCACCCCGTGCCAGGACTTCTGCTTTGCTCCACTCGAAGCTATGTTCTTCTTTATCTACATGCATTGAAATAGCGACCATGCATAATGCTTTACGCACGCTCTCTTATGTTCTTGTATCCTGGTTAACAATTTTCTTCCCGTCTGGCCAACATAATCCCTTTCACAATCTCGGCAAGGTATTTCGTATACCACATTGCGTTGTTCAAGTGCCTGTACTATTCTTTTGGTTTTGAAAGGATTTTTCTCCACGTGGCAGTTGGATTGTGTGCTACGATGAGATGATGCTGTTTGAATAGTCTAGCTGCCATTTCCGATATGTTCTTCATATAAGGCAGAACAACTAGATTCTCTGTTGTCGTTGTTGTTGCCGCTGCTGCTGTTGTTGTTGTGTTTGTTGTTGTCGCTGCTGCTGTTGTGGTTGTTGTTGTTGTAGGCTGTATGTTGACGTTGTTGTGATTCAGACACCTTCGGATGAAGCTTCGTGGGTATCCGTTGAGTTGGAAACATTTAAGTAGGTGTTTTTCTTCCTTTTGCTTTGCTTCTATGGTAGTGCAGTGTGTTTGCACTCTGCGAAACAGTGTCCGCACACCGCTTACTTTGTGGCATTTCGGGTGGTTACTGTTAAAGCTCAGAATTTGGTCTGTGTGTGTGGGTGTGCCTTTTCCGTAGACCGATGTTTGCATCTCGCCTTCTATGTTTCTTGTTACTAATACATCCAAGAAAGGGAGCTGCCTTTCTTTCTCCAGTTCCAATGTAAATTGGATGCCTTCCATGGCGTTATTCAATAGCTGTTGTGCGACTGTTATTTGGTTGCGTCTGATTATCTCATTTTAAACAACTACGAGCGTTCAGCGCTCCGATGTGCTCGCCGTTGGGAGGACATCGCTTGTAGACAACCCTCTACAAGACAGCAGCTCTTCTTTCTTCATGAATGTCTGAGAAAAGAATTCTTCCTCGCAGTATCAGATGCAGACCACCGATTGATCACGCTCAATCGTGGACTGCTGCTCGACAATTCGGGAGGCGTATGATACGCTTAATGATCACCGACGCTGACAATCGTCTCAGAAAATATAACAAAGTATGAACGAACGTCGGTCTAGCTGCCTTCAAGTCATGGGACAACAATTAACAGAACAATTAGAAGCTGCAATACAACGTCGGGTAGGAAACACCAGGACGAAAAAGCATAATGCGCTTCTCGACAAGTTATCAAAATTGACGGCTCCTAAAGATGAAAAAATCAGTGACGGCTGGATTAGAAATCTCTCCAACCGACCAATCAACGATGCCGAAAAGCAAGTCCTCATCAAGGGATTAAACTACAACTACAGAGATGCAACGGCTGCCAACTTCTTAGCAGCATTCGAAAGCGTCCTACAATCCAGTGGATTAGACGAATAGACTCAGAAGCAAATAAGACACACAAATGTTCCTGCTATAACGCACAACAAGCAATACAACGCCTAAACCAGACAAGAAAAGGAGGCAATGAATACCCTGAAGTCTGATGAAACAGTCATTATCGTACCAGCTGACAAGGGACGAATGAGTGTCATAATGAATAGAGAGGATTAAATTGAGAAGGCCACACGTCTCTTGAATGACACAACAACCTACAGGTGCATCGACACCGATCCAAGTTTGCAGCTGACAAACAAAGTAAACAAAACATTGAAGCAACTTCAGGAATCAAAGCAAATCACGAAAGATGAGCGCGACAGGATGAGAGCCCGCGACTCGAACATCGCCCAATTCTACGGACTCCCAAAGGTACACAAAGTTAATGCACCGTTGCGGTCTATCGTGTCTCTCCCTGGAACACCCACATACAATCTGGCTAAAGAAACGTGGAGACGCCTCAAACATTTAACCTATGGATCGCGATATTCCATAACCAATGCCCAGCAGTTTCTGCGAAAGATCAAAGACCTGCGATTAGATAATGATGAAACAATGATATCATTCGAGGTGACTGCACTCTTCACGTCTGTCAACTTGCAGACAGCAATAGCAGTCATCACGGAACGGCTGAAGGTCAGTGAACAATAAATCGGTACAATGACGATCGAAAATGTATGTAAACGACTCCACTTGTGTTTGTCGACTCACTTCACATTCAATGGAAAGATTTATGGGCAATTGAAAGGTGCACCAATGGGATCAACTGTGTCAGGGCTCATCGCAGAGATGGTTATCCAGAAATTGGAGGAGGAGATACTACCACTCATCAATCCGAAAATGTGGGTTCGGTATGTGGACGACACTTTTGTGATAATCAGACGCAACCAAATAACAGTCGCACAACAGCTATTGAATAACGCCATGGAAGGCATCCAATTTACATTGGAACTAGAGAAAGAAAGGCAGCTCCCTTTCTTGGATGTATTGGTAACAAGAACCATGGAAGGCGGGATGCAAACATCGGTCTACAGAAAAGGCACACCCACACACACAGACCAAATTCTGAACTTTAACAGTAACCACCCGAAATGCCACAAAGTAAGCGGTGTGCGGACACTGTTTCGCAGAGTGCAAACACACTGCACTACCATAGAAGCAAAGCAAAAGGAAGAAAAACACCTACTTAAATGTTTCCAACTCAACGGATACCCACAAAGCTTCATCCGAAGGTGTCTGAATCACAACAACGTCAACATACAGCCTACAACAACAACAGCAACAACAGCAGCGACAACAACAAACACAACAACAACAGCAGCAGCGGCAACAACAACGACAACAGAGAATCTAGTTGTTCTGCCTTATATGAAGAACATATCGGAAATGGCAGCTAGACTATTCAAACAGCATCATCTCATCGTAGCACACAATCCAACTGCCACGTGGAGAAAAATCCTTTCAAAACCAAAAGAATAGTACAGGCACTTGAACAACGCAATGTGGTATACGAAATACCTTGCCGAGATTGTGAAAGGGATTATGTTGGCCAGACGGGAAGAAAATTGTTAACCAGGATACAAGAACATAAGAGAGCCTGCGTAAAGCATTATGCATGGTCGCTAGTTTCAATGCATGTAGATAAAGAAGGATATAGCTTCGAGTGGAGCAAAGCAGAGGTCCTGGCACAGGGTGTAACAAGAAAAGAAAGAAAATTTTTGGAAGCTTGGTTCCCAAAGAAGCATTCAATCAACATGCGCGTGGACATCGATTCAATATACGAACCACTACGACAGAAAGAAATAAAGTACCTTTTGTCAGGCGGTTTGAGGCAGAACAACTCGGGCGCCGACTTTGGCCTTGGAGAAAGTGGAGAGAGGTCACGGGACCTAAATCGACGCTGCCACGTTCAAAGTTACCTGCAGGTCGAGCATGGATGGAGAATTCATTTAGCAAGCTTGCACGCTACATATCACTGCACTGAGGATGCCACCTCGCATGGTGGTGAAACGTTTGCGAGAAAACCGCCAAGCTCGGAGAACAAATGATCAATTTATTCATCAACCCGAGCTACCAGTATTTCGAGACATTTTAAATCGCTTTACATATTTTTTGTGCAGGTTTTGTATAAAAATTCACAAACAAGTTTTGAAGTGGCTAACATTTCACAATTATCGGATTGGTTAAGATACCGGGACAAATAACAGACTCAGACAAAGTGCAATTACATTAATATTGCCATCCATGGAACCGTCTCCACCGGACCTGCTTGCATGCGGAGTATTGGAAAAGTGAATTTCTCCTGCACTTCCATGCTCTAACTGGCTGGGAGCCGGTGTGGAAAAATAGCTTGTAAGCCGTCGGTTAGTTTATAAATCTATTTTTAAACGGGCAGGTTTTATGCTTGCATTAGCCGCCGTGAAGCCTCAACCCATTCAGACGTGCGAATTATTCAAGTCTGGCAACTTAACTGTTATACGCCAGTGAGTCAGTGGCAGTACGCTTTCCATCGTAATTATTATACACTTTAGCTAGAGGCAAAAATCTCCCTACTTAGTGAACAGCAATACATATAAAGAAAAAACGGAATGCTATGCGACGGATGCATACCAGTTGAGCTACCAGTAAAGGATGGGCACCGTTCCAGAATGCTACCAGCCGGCAACCTCGCAGCAAACATATTTATTTTGCAAAACTCTATTATGTTAAGAAATAAGATCGTGGTTGAAAATGGAGTCTAGGAGCGTTGTCAGTCGAATACTGCAATTGCACTCGACCTAACTAGCCGTCATCGCCTCCGAGCGGATAGCCACTGATGAATCGATCAAGTTCAAATTCGCTCCACTCTCTGGTTTATGATTCACTATACAATATCTGTGAGATAATATTGACTTATTCGTCCTGTCGACGACCCACACAGAGACCCGGAACGCATCTGCGTAGAGCATATCAACAAAACTGCCTGAAAGCACTCTTCGCTCATAGTGCATCGCAACAAACGGAACGGTGCAACATTCGGAAACACCGCCTCCGTTTTGTTTAGAGCGTCGGTCACATTTTCGTGGGACGTGCGAATAGTGGAGGCAACAATTTTCGGCTCCACATGGAGGCTGGTGTATGCAGTCACGTAGTTAGACACGGTCTTCTGCTCCTTTGGTAGTTTTGGATGTTCGCGGGTTAGCCGGAACGTTGGTTCGTATTGAAATGAGCATTGGAGTTTAAATTTGTTCACAACGCCGGCGGTGTCGTGCTTTTCTATTCGATATATGTGATACGTGATGTTATTCCGACCTTGAAGCGAATACCATGTGTCCACACGTTGATATGGAAGGTGCGCCTCCATGTTGATGAGTATGTACTCAAAGTGAATACTAGAGTAATTATCATTTCCTATGGGTAGCACAATCCGGCAGTTGATATACACGCTATCTTGGAGATAAGTCCTATTCAACACATCCTTATGTGGATACCCAGGCACATTCAGTCCGTCGCGTTGCCAGTGTTGCTCGCTGAGGAACACCGTGATGTTATCTTCATGTGGAAGGACAGTTAGGTGGTAATCTAGGAGCTGTGAAACAGCGCCACTTTGCGCTTTGCAATTGTAAATGCCGGTATCGTGCAGCTCCAGATTAATGAGTTCCATCGCACCACATTGCCAGTTGCACTTCATTCGATCTTGCTCCGAAGATGTATCCGCCAATCGCAGCTGTTTTTCACACCTTTCTAAATTGCGACACGTCCGCATATACACAGTTCGGAACTGAAATTTCCCCAACTCGATACACGGCTTTGCGAGTCGATTTAATATTTAATAACCGCATTGCAGGAGTACGCCATGATGGATACCGAAAATCCACCCGTGCAGCGTCAATGATTGGAGTCAATGCATCGCTCCCGAACTGCCGATGAAGTTCCGCGTCAGTTATAACAAACAGAACGGCGTCCACCGGAAAGGGCACGACTAGAGTACTGTTTGCATCGAAAAATCGGTTCTCAAGTTTCCGATTAGTGTAGACCATTTCGGAGAATAATCCCTGAAATTTGTTTTGGTGAATCTATATGCACCCACTTCCCCTGGATGCACATCGTATTCCATCGAGTTTGGTTGCGTGTGAAAGGCAATTACTTTTAAGACATGTTCGTGTGCCATCCACCCGGTCAGCTGGAAGTACCATACCTCCTGGTCCGATTTGTAAAACGTTTTTTCGTGAAAGTCATCGAAATCTAGGGTATGGCTTTCTGGAATCTGATGCGTAATTATGCGTTTAGTATACGTATCAAACCACAACAGCGAAACTATCTCAGGGCATGGTACGAACGTTGCTAGTTGGGAGAAAGTGGTTGTAAAATACTTCGGTCCATTCGGAGTCTGGAAATACACATTAACCACGGCACCGGTTCCCTCTAACTTCTGTGTGGATAGTTCGGTGCGCACTTCATACCGCAGCAGTTTGCGATTACTGGTGCTTCGCACCATGTCGTAAAAGAGCACACGGTCACATGTGGTAGAATGTCGACTTGTACGCAAGTCACAGCATTCAAAATACTCGGCAGCTTGGTAATCGCACAACATGAATACAGTACCGTTTACAGGACTGTAAGATTTGAAGTGCGTTATTTGGACATCCTGAAAAATGCTGAATGACATGAACAAGGTGCCATCAAAACGCGTTGATTGTTGCTCTTCCCTGATCCATTTTGCGTATTCCTCACGTGGGTTAAACTCTGGCCGGTTGTATGGATGATCATAATGCGGAATTCGTTCACACGGTGCGCCAGAGGCAACTGCGCGAAGTGCAAATGCGCAAACGAATAATATCCGCAACACCAACATAAGTGTCACTGGCACTGTGTGAGATCACACATATGACGTTATCCTCAGTGTCGAAGGATATTGATTTATTCAATGGGGAAGGCTATTCAAATTATTGGCGTGCATGTGCTACGGGCAGAGCAGACAATGTATCCAATATACCGTTCCAGCGGCAGGAATATGGGCGGTTAGTAGTCAATTGGTAAACTATCTGGCCTCTGAGAACTGTCTGGTGTCGATAGTGTCTCTGCGATTCAACATTAGATTTAGAATATCCGCCGTGTTGTTAGATTGACACATGTAATCTGTATTAAAAAGTCATCGTCATTTATCATTGTACACGTTAGCTGCAGATGGAAAACTCCTCAGATATGGTGTCGCAATACAAAAGAATAGAACAATCATGAAACAGAGGCACTCCGTTTGCGTCCCCAGTAACGGATGAGCATCGTCCCGCAGAGCTACCAACCAGCTATTGTGCCGCAAGGTAGTTATATTGTCCTTAACAAATGAGGTCGTGTTTGGAGAGGAGGCTAAGCGGGAGGGGGACAAAGAAAGTCACGACAAAAACGCCATTGAGGTCGGCTCCTAGCCTTGTCAAAAAGTGTATCCAGCCCAACGTGTTCATTGTCCTTCGGTCCCCAACCATGGAGGCGAGATGCTCCAACCGAGGCTAACGTCGAATTAAAGGGTTCCATTCCACTTGACCAAGCCATCGCTTAGCCACATCTCCTCTTATTCCATCCAGTCGGTGGCCTGGCAAGCGCAACACGTGGCCCAGCCATCAGAGCCTGGTGCGCGAAATAACGGTGCTGAGCGGGTCACTTTTACTTCCTGCACCATATACAAGTCGTCGAACATGCTCATTGCGCACACGGTGTTCCCACCAGATATGAGACAAACTGCGAAGGCACCGGTGTCGAACGCAACTGGCCTCCTTATGTCTGCTGATCTAATGGGCCATACAGACTGGTCGAACGTACGGCTGCATTATACAATCTACCCTTTAGGGAAAGAATGAGGTCGCGCCACCGCCATGGGTAGCGAAGGCTAGCAAAAGCGTCTCGTGCTTTCGCAAGAAGCATGATGACCTCGTCTTCAATTCCAACGGCGCTGATACAAATGCCTAGGTAGTTAAAATTTTGAACGAATTCTAGCTGATCCCCACCAATGGTCATCCATGAAGGCTGTCCCTGCTAAGGTTGGAGGAAAGCTTTGTACTTCGAGGGTGCAGACCATAGCTTAACAGTACATACATACAGTACATATATTTGGTTGGCGGCATCCGGTTTCGCATTTGCCCGTCACTCCGGCCAGCCACAGGATGCCTGCGCCTACAGAGGGACCATGAGTGGCTTGCGCTGCACCACTCACAGCTCCAAACACACATCGCATATCCAGTGTAAACCCGAAGGAATAAGACCGAGATGCATGCGGATGGGAGCCACGTTTCATCAACGGAGCCGGCCCACACTCCTTCACAGGCAAACACAAACACGCTGTATTTGGGGAAGCAAGTGCACACAAGGCGGTGGCTGGACTGTAGTCCGCTCCACACTGAGTGTATGGAGCCACTCCTTTAGCCTATCACGACCACATGGACCGTGCACCCCGTCCCCTCTAGCAATGACCAACTGTCTCCTGAAGCCAGTATGGATGAGGTAGTGAGTAATAGACAGGTAGGCACCTTGTCAACGTACACATCAAGCGCAACCGCACTGGGGATATCAAGAACCAACCACACAAATGCCGATATCGAAGAAAGTACGCATACGACGACATAAATACTCGCTAAATGAGTATATAGAAGCAATTAATTATAAGTGAATCGGTGATAAGTGCAAAATGTCCGAGTTGGTTAAAAGATGCCACGCGATCCAAATACGCAATTTTACGACAATTTGCATGAGCGAAGTGTGCAAGTTGGGAGAAGATTATCAAATACGCAGAACCAACCAAATAAAGTGTAATGAATTTTATCCACATTAAAAAGACCTGGTTTAAGTATAAATTGGTTCAGCCCAACTGCGGTGCAGAAGCATCATGGATGCAACATCAGCCTCAGCATGGGGCACCATCCCTTACATATATAAATATATATATATATACATATATATATACATATATATATATATATGTACATATATATATTATGTTATTGGTTCTCCAAACAGAACTACGGTGCGCGGTGCGCTTTATCACGGAATCGTGGGGCATTTGTCCTTTCGGTTGAGAATGACCTATCCCATTTAGTGCACCAGGGCTCCAGAGGTTTGGGATCAGACATAATGGGGTTCGTGAGGTAGTTCTTGTCAATTTGGTCAGATGTGTAAATGATCTTCACTTAGACAACAAGCACGTATGAGACGCCATACGGTATTGCGTCTAATATATGGTTAGCTACAATAAAAGGAGGTGGCCCATAACGCTTGTCTGAACTATGCCACTCAACACTGGTCTAGGTTGTGAAATTTGGCCATTTATGCAAACTACTTGGATTCGGTTTGATAGGTATAATATGTGCCCCGATAATAAAGGGCCGTTGCTTCCTAATGACGTGTGACACGCGACCAAACGCTTTTTGTATATCTAGGAAGATCACTAGTGATTTCCCGCAGTATACATGATGAGTAAGAAGAGTCCGATGGAATGCGCACTGCTGATGATTCCCGAAAGGATGAAACGCGCGTACAGTGCTTTTCCGGGCTTGTGGCGGCTGTCTGAGTGAGCCTAGATGTGACGAAATTCTACCTATACCATTCAACTCCCCCTACTACTCTTCTGTAATCAGTGCACAGAACAAACTGCTTATAATGCCATAAGATAATTGGCGGCTTAAGTTTGTTAAGCTCGTCGCTTGGTGAGGGGGCTACCCTGTCCTCTGCACGGCAGTAACGTGTAAGTCAGTGGATAGTGAGCGGCGCTATATCACATCTAGTAACTTATTCACGATGGCCGTTGCCGTCCCCCGTAGCTCAGTGGTCTCAACCACGGACTGGCAACAGTCGAGTTGCGGTTTCGAGCCCTACCAAGGGTCCGATGGAATGCGCACTGCTGATGATTCCCGAAAGGATGAAACGCGCGTACAGTGCTTTTCCGGGCTTGTGGCGGCTGTCTGAGTGAGCCTAGATGTGACGAAATTCTACCTATACCATTCAACTCCCCCTACTACTCTTCTGTAATCAGTGCACAGAACAAACTGCTTATAATGCCATAAGATAATTGGCGGCTTAAGTTTGTTAAGCTCGTCGCTTGGTGAGGGGGCTACCCTGTCCTCTGCACGGCAGTAACGTGTAAGTCAGTGGATAGTGAGCGGCGCTATATCACATCTAGTAACTTATTCACGATGGCCGTTGCCGTCCCCCGTAGCTCAGTGGTCTCAACCACGGACTGGCAACAGTCGAGTTGCGGTTTCGAGCCCTACCAAGGGTCCGATGGAATGCGCACTGCTGATGATTCCCGAAAGGATGAAACGCGCGTACAGTGCTTTTCCGGGCTTGTGGCGGCTGTCTGAGTGAGCCTAGATGTGACGAATATCTACCTATGCCATTCAACTCCCCCTACTACTCTTCTGTAAAGAGTAAGATCATTGGAAAGGCAAAGTGACATATTATACCAATGGTCTCTTCGGAAATCCCTGTTGCGGTTCTTTTAACGTCCGCAAGTTTTCGGATCGGTCGACAGGTCAGCAGAAAGCGGCTAGCACGCTATAAGCGAACAGAGCAGTTGTTTGGACAGGTATGCATGTTTCTTCTATGTGTCGTTTGGTTCACTAGACCGGGTCTGTGTAACTTATTCGAAGGACGAATCTCATGGATGCGGCAGTGTTGTTATTTATGGAACTGTCTTACTTGTTTACATCGTTCCTATATGCTCGCTATGCTGTCATTTTTGCCGAGTTCACTTTGTCGACCAAATAATTTGTGCCTGATTGGACCGAGTTCTGTGACGTTGTGTTCGTGGAAACCAAGACAGTCTTACCCAATAGTGCTCAGTTGCTGATTGGAGCGCATAAACTGTTCCACTAAATATGGAAGAACCGAATTTGGCCAATAGTTGGAGAATCTGGAAAAGCAGGTGGCTGGATTTCTGTATATTGATGCGGTTGAATGAACAACCGATGGCTTACGATCGGAGACGAAGCACTCCGCGTCTTGGAGAGGGTGCAGCACGAAAAGAATGAAGCCCCAGCTGATCTGGATACTGTCGTCCGAAAATTCGGTGATTTCTGCGAAGGCCAGAATAACGAGACTTATCAGCGGTAGCCCTTTATAACCCCACACCGGAGCCCAAACGAAACTATCGAGAACTACATTAACGAGCTAAAGATCCTGGGTCATTCCTGTAACTTTTGCAACTGTATGGCTGACAATCTCATCCGAGATAGAATTGTGCTGGAGAACAATGATGAAAACATTACCAAGCGGCTGTTGCGACAACGGCTGTTATTACTCAGACAATGTCTTGGTCTATGCCAAAGTGAATCATCAGCTGCACACCACAACCAGCAAATGCCGTTACCGGATGAAGCAGTTATTTGCCATATTCAGGTTAGCTGACAAAACCGCGAAGCCTGTTACCAAGACACGCGGAATTCGTAAATGATGCGCAGTGTGACACCCAAAGGATAGCGATCAATATCCGGTGTGGGGCCGAATTAGCGCCAGATGCGGTGGACGGAATCCTTTCGCTCAATGCTGTCAGTCTTCAAATATGAATGTACTCAATCGTGACACAACACCCTCCGAATTTGAATATTCAATCAGCAATATGTTCTAGATGGGGCCGAAGAAGTGCAACTACGTAAAGTAATTGTTTGGTAACGAAATTGTGCATTTCCAATTGGACACGAGTGCTACAATCAACATAGTTCCGCTGAAGCGGTGCCCAAGACTTCGTATGCGACCTGGTCAGGGAGTCTTGCACATCTGGAACGGTTCCAAGCTCCATGCGAAACGTTTGGCCACAATCAGAGTGATCAAAGCGAAAGGCGGCTCTTTACATCAATTGTATTTCTTGGTCTTGGAGGAAGAGCACACGCCGATCCTCGACAATGATTCCATCCAATGTCTTA